TTCAAAATGTTTTAAAAAAATCCGTTTTTTAGCGTTACGTCTAGTTAAGGAATGGCTTTGTGGTGCTACATTACAGAGACGCAACATTAGATAACAATTTACTCTAGCTGGCAGCATTGAAAAGTTCATTACCTTTTCATAACTTGGACCCACTTCAGCGGCTTAAGAATCCTTGTGACAAAGACAGAGGTGGATCCAGCAAATTGGCAACACTGGCTTTCCTCCATTTGAGCCTGTGCTGAATAATCGAGTTTTGTAGAGCACCTGGCCCCTACGAGAATCGATGCATTTCCACAGGTGTAAATGGTGAGAAGCCAACTTGCTGGATCTGCCAATGGATGACGTCACGATTAATTGAGTTTACATGACGGGGAGGGGGACGTATAAGGCACCGCGTTTACTTCTACGATCAGCGTCGCATTATGCAGTGCTAGAGAAAAACGCCGTATGGACATTTGCGAGTTGCCAAATTTTCACCAGTAAAATGTTTCTTTCGGAGGAGAATTATGAATAATTTCTCTTGATATTTTCAGAAACACTTGAAAAAAAAAAAAAACACATTGGATTTAGAGTCCAGACTCTTAAAAACATCGACAAGAAAAAGTACTCTTGATTCAATTAGAATCTAGCTTAAATCAAGAACCAAGTCTCTTAATTTAAGCGGATTTCCTTTTGATTCGGGCAAAAATCCGATTGAATCGAGAGTATTTTTTCTTGTCAATGTTTTCAAGATTCTGGACTCTAGATCCAATGTGTTTTTTTTCCCAGTGTAATTTAGATATGTTCGCAGATGAAGTTCTCCAAAAAATTCGAGGAAAAACACTCAGATTCTTTGAAAATGTGCAATCATGGAAGGAAATTTGACAACGTATGAAGGCTCATGCGGCGTTTTTCCTTCTAGCACGGCGGCGTTGTCGCTGCGAAGTAAAGAGGTACAGTTACTGGGCGACGCTACAAATAAATTCGTGCAAAAATTAAACTGATCTAACGATAAGTAGCTACACGGGAAAAACTTTTCTCATGTGCCGGTGCGGTGAAACTCGGGGCATGAATTTGTAATACACGTGAAAAAATAGGACCCGGAAAAACGTGAGGCACTCTCAGATGTAATCTGCCTATGTGGTCTGGCATTTGACTCAACGTGACGTGGCAACGAAAATAATTCCATGTAATCTCGAATTTTAAATATTAATATTATTATTAGCATAGTGTAAATACTAGGTATACGAGCTGTGTAATCGCAGCTGCCTTACCTTACGTTGTGTAAAGTTCTATTTTGACGCGAATGTATGTCTTGGAGGAAATTTTCGATTCACGAGGGCCTTTCGTATTCAACTCCGATAGCACGGTTGTTTCTTTTAGCTTTTCGACTCTTGAACTTCTTTTACGTCCTTCCTGTACCTCGAGATTTTTACAGCAATCAATTCGTAGGTACATTTGAAATTTTTGAGTAAAGACCCTGAGCCTTGGNGGGGGGGGGGGGGGGGGGGGGGGGAGGTGTCGGTTTTTTTTAAGCGGCCCTCTGAGCAAGCGCAGTGGGGATTAGGCTAGATAAGGCTGCGCAGATGTCGCATGAGCTTTGCAGTATTGCGCAGGGGTGAAGAAAGTTCTTCGGCCTACGAAATTCCACGCAACCGGGGATTCGGCCTCTGCATACTATGACGTGTCGACTTCGCAGTGATTTTCACCAAATAATAACGCGTCTGTAGTGATTTTTCAAACAATTCAACGCTTTTGCAGTAAATTAGTTAAAAAGGCAACGCTTCTGTAGTGACGTTTTCAAAAATTCAACACTTGCACAGGAATTTTCTACATCATTCAACAGATACGAAGTATTTACCTAAAAAACTCGACGCGTTCGCACTAATTTTTTACAAAATATAAAAAATCAACATCCTTGTCAATAAGTCTCCGTAAAAATCAGTGCATAGAGCATTCACTCTTTACAATAAAACCGAATTTTTTTATTCGTACAACCCAACGTTCGGTTCATGTGACCGAACTTCTTACATCTTTATGTTTTCAAGTACAGTTATACGAACCAAACGTTAGGTTACGACAGTTGGGTTTGACGAACGGAATAGTTGGGATGATACAGAACACCATGTCCCCCTTCATTTTGTGGATATGCAATTTTACATACTTGGAAGGCGAAATAGTTGTATCACGCGTTTCGCCCCATCCGACTGTTCTACTCATGCGTTAAATTCTCCGGGTCAGCGAAAAGACTTCACGTTCTCCTACATTTCGTGGATATGCAATTTTACATACTTGGAAGTCGAAATAGTTGTATCACGCATTTCTCCCCATCCAATATTTTTACTCTACTCTCGCTCTAGACTCTCGACTTGCGAATCGCACTGAGTTCCAAGATGCGTACGCTATTTGGAAATCCATACGGCAGTGCGCGTGCATAACTTCGGAAAGTACCCACAGAAATGGAGCGCATTTTGATCAAAACCTAATGCATTTTAAATAATCCATTATTCAAGGTCGTAGCCTTCGCAAAATTCCCACTGCTTACGCAGTTCGCGAACGACCGATGGGTCGTTGGTTCGTAAACATTCTGCACCCCTGGTGCGTATTCCAAGTTCAAAGCCTAAAGGGTCTGAGTTACCTCTAATTCAGAAGGATTCTAATTGAGGCGGCTCCTATTTTAAATCAGATATGCAGAAGCTCCTAAATTTTTTTCGCTGTAGCTAGTAAGAAGTATTCTGACTGAGAAGTTTCAGAGTTTGAGTTACAGACATAGAGTAGCTCCTTAATTTTTTTCACTGTAGCTAATTCTCTTCCAGTGCGAGACTTGATAGGTAAGAATTCAAAATCAACCCGATGGACAACTGCGTTATGTGATTTACAACATCATAATTCTCGCGTAAGCAGCTAAAAGTATGAAGTAAAAAGCAATTAAAGTACCGACAGAGGAATATGGGGCCATTCAAGTATTGTGTAAGGCATCTCGACGACTACTTAATACTTGAACAGCACCTATGGGAGGTATTAGGGGAGGAGAGGGAGACAGAGATTCAGTTGCATCAGTTCTAAAAAGCTATTTTTGCAAACGAACGAAATCACAAAAGCAAATAGGGAAAAAAATTAAGCACTTACAATTAAATTAGAGCAAAAAGCAAAAAGTAATGAGGATAGAGAACACAAAAATTTAAAACCGATTGAGAAAAAAATTGAATGCATTAGACATAAATTGAATAATCTCAACTTAAGATCATGATGCTCCGTTGGCGGTTAAGATGAGAAAATAAAATGCATCAAAAAGAAGAAATTATTGTGTGGTCTTGTAAATTGAGAGTTGCCACATCAATACATCTCTAAAATCCACACACCCAATTTAAATTAAATTAAATTAAAAAAAAAAACAAAAAAAAAAAAACACTCTTTTACTCTCCCTTTAAATTCTCGGCCATTAGTCCCTATCTTAAAAAAGATATTGTTTGAAACTTTCAAAGGATTAACGGAGCTAGAAAAATTTTTGTTTGATATTTATGAACCAAAACCCCCAATGAGCTGGTAGTGAGCTGTGGTGAGCTATCTGTGAAATAAATTAAACTGAGTTCTTGTTGGTTTGTCTTTCTTTCAAAACACAAATGGAGCTTTTAGAAGTTTTAAGAAAATGATTGCAATTTTTTTTAGCAAGGACTATAGCATTAGCATTTTTTTAGCATTAACTAGGTTTTTACGTCAAGGTCTGCAGCCAAAATATTAAGCCTTAATTTTTAAAATTTTGGGCAGAACTCACTGCAGTAGCTACAAATCTAACTTGTTATTTTTTTATACCCTTGTTTCAAGAAGCAAAGAGTATAAGATCAAAGTCAACTTCCCACCTGCGATAGGAAAAGCAAGCGAAACACATAGACTACATTTTGCGATAAGAAACTGCTGCCTGGCTCAACCACAATATCAACTGTCTCTATAGGGAAACTAATACTAATGGCGCATAAGTTGTTCCTAAAATGAGCTGAAAATTTAATTCCCAGTCGCAAAATGTAGGGAGTCGACATGATTTTCATAAAATGTTGTGCATCATGGTGTAGACAATATAATCAGAAGTAGGCAAGCTCCTTAGACTTTAACACACGCTCTTTATTCATAGAGATGATGGATTCAACAATTTTTGTAGCTTTTTAATTATTAATGTGAAATATATAAATATGTATTGATATTGATTTGAGGCAGTGTAAAGGCCTGCAGTTTAAAAAACAAACAAACTAGATTTATAAGAGCCTTCGTAGCTTCAGAGCTGCTTGCAAAAAATTTTTCCACTTTTCAGAATTCAATCAACATTTGAACTACTCAATACTCTGAAGGGAGTATCTACTCATCGCTCTGTATATCACTTTACAACAGAAATAAGAGTTCCATCCAGAGAGCAACAGAATGCACTCCAATAAAAATAAGTTTAAGAAAAGAGAAAGAAGAATATATTCACCTCAGTCGTTCCAGTTCAGATCTAATATCTCTGATTGCTATTTCCAGTTGCTGCATTCCAAAATGCAACTTCTCCTTCTCTTTTTTGGAGATTATGTGGTGGTAGAGAATGGTGCTTGTTGCACCAATTATCACACCGGTACCGAGCGTTGCCAAAAGCAAGCCCCGGTGACGTAAAAAGTCATCAACATTCATTATGTCCGGGTGTCATGAAAATTAAAACCTATAACAAATGAGGAAAAGTACCTGATTGACTGAGGTAAATTTGCATTTATGTACAAGGGTTTTATATCGCTAAAATTTCAGGCAAGTGACGAAGGAAGCATTTCAATACCTAAGTAGTGGAAAACTTTATGAAAGGAAAATTTCATAATTCACAATCATAAATCTCTATCTCCAACTTGGAACCAACAAAATTAACACTATATGTGTCTTTGTTTAGACTGCACATTTTGAGCTCTAACTTTTCAGTGTAATTTTAAGCATAAATGTTCAACATGCAATGGGAAAATTCATCCTTGATAGACAGATGGGTAGGTAGATCATGTTTATTTTCTAAACACCGAATCCTCATACTTCCAAAATTTAGTTACTCTCAGTTAGATCCTGATCTAAAACGCATTGTTAAGAGAGCAAATGTATAATGTTGGTGTAACTGAGTTGAAATTGTAAAGCTCATGGTGGAAGCTGCTAATCTGTTTCAGTTAGCTTTGAAATCAGATATTGTAGTTAGTACACTACATTCAAGATGTGATAAGAATAATCTGCTTTACACCATAATGGGAATTGTAAGCTGACAAAGTTTCCGTAGCAGATTCGAGACATTATTTTACACAGATAAGAGGTGCAAATTTCGAACCTGGGACCTATGCTTGCAGCTACTAATGTTAGTAGCGTTCTGTGCTACATAACTTTGGTAAAACTCTGAGATTCGTTTATAAATTATGTTAATATGAGTAATGCTACTCTTTACTGGAAATTTGAAATGCTATCGCTATAATCAGGAAGGGATTATTCTTCAAGATGTCGTTTCTGAGGAGGTTAGAATAGACTGGTGGTTAAATACCGCTTCCACAAAAATTGAACCTAAAGTAGGAAATACGAGCGAGAGGTCATAGACTTCTGACGCTCTATCCTGAAACAAATTTCTCTTGGAATACAGGGGATTAATATCGCTCCGAACTGAAGACGATAGGTTAGAGCTTGCGGGACGTGGGCACATGGAACAGTAAACCCATTGTATCCTAAGTGTGATGCAGATTTTAATCAAGGAATCCTTGACAGTTAGAAGAATTGATAGAAATGCTGAAAAGAAAGAGCAGATAGCCAAGAAATTTTTGGGAGCACAAACTTATTTATTAGGTGGAATCTGCATGTTGCTAATAAGCTGAAAAGTTATGTAATACATGCAAATTAAATAGAGCAGGTAAATGACTTACCTAGGCTACAGAAAAGCGACGACGGTCACAGGTAACGAGGTATGAGCTGTGGAAGACAATGATCACGAAAGAAAAAGAGGATGACGAACAAATTCAAATTGGAACATTCAGAAATTCTTAACGCGCTGAACGGGCGCCCGCGTGTGAACGGTTAAATCTTCACACAAGAAGTGATTCGGGAAATTTAAATCTCCGTGCCCACAGTAGGTATCACAAATTTTAATTTCAAATAAATACTGACACTGAACTTGGAAGGTATTATTCAGAATTTAAATTGCGAAGACGAAAACTGCACTGCCGTTCATGTAACTAAAACGTAAACGACGAAGGTTGTTGACAGCGACAGCGTTAATCGCTGTTACATCGCTTCTAATCGTGATAAGATAAGCATCATTTTATTATTGCACCATTTTTCGTACAAAGCGGCAACGAACGAAACAGCAACTTTTTTAGTCGTGGACTTAACAAACAGAGGGCGCTGGCGCTGCTTTGGCTTCGAGACAGGGTGGCAAAATTTCATGAAATTTAAAATCGTGAAATTTCACGTGAAATATTTCCGGAAATTTCCGAAATTTATGAAATTTATGAAAAATTGAAGTAAAATTGCTCGAAATTGATCATTATGATGTATAACTGTCAGAAGGCCTCTTAATGCCTGTTTTTGCCCAGCATGAGCATTGGAAACGTCATTCGTGAACTCAAAATGACCGACTTGTTTCTGGCTCTAATATGGGTACGTTGGCAGACAGGGAGACTCCATAACTGCCTCTAGGACTGTTAGAGGGTAAAGGGTATGACAGCAAGGCTCAATGGCACACCGACACTAAGTGGATTGCACTTTGCAAGAAGGAACCAAGAGCATTCCAATGTTGCTAAGATTGTGCAACTTTATTAGCCTTGCAAATAAACACAGATTATCTAAACTAATTTTATCTTTACTCCCAGGAAACTATAACTTACAGACGAAAATTACCTTTGTAAATTTAATTTTTTCCATGATTTCAGTAATATTATTGAATGAATATGAGATACACAATCTTAACAACATTGGAATGCTCTTGGTTCCTTTTTGCAAAATGCAATCCAAGTATGGGGATGGGGCTGAAGTCCCTTATTTTTTTGGAGAATCTTAAATAAAATAAATTCGAGTACATTATTTTTAGAGCGAATTTGTGAGAAACATGATTTTGCAACGTCTGAATTGAAGTGTAAACAAACAAGTTTGAGGTTGGTCAATAGGTCCCGGGTTCGAATCCCGGTGGTGGCGACAAACTTTCATGGAACTGACGAGTGGATCTGTAAGCAGAATTCGCTCGGCCTTAATCCGTGAAAATTTGTAAGCCCGAGCATGGATGTCTACCAAACTCCCTGATGTCTTCGGACAATAAATAGTGCCTATAGATGGCTGTAGATTCCGAAAGGAATAGAAGCCACTAAACTCTCAATAAAAAAAAAATAAAAAAAAAAAAGTTTGAGGTTAGGTTTTCAGTCTAGACTGGAAGAGGGAGGGTCAGGGGGGTATACATTCCATGATTGTAGCAGTTGTAACCAGCAGATTGTAGCAGTTGAGATAAAATCGGCCCTAAGAGGAAAAGTAATAATGAAGCAAAGGGGCTCTACAATGATTATGAATGATGCAGAATCCGTTCACGAACTTAGAAATTGATTTTTGTTTCATTATAAAGGATAAAATTAGAAAATTTCGTAAATTTCATAAATTTCACAGGCTTGTGAAATTTCATGAAATATTTCACGGAAATTTCCAATCTTTCATAAGTTTCTTACCTTACATGCCACCCTG